AGACGAAGATTCCTATTGATTTTCAACTTCAGATTGATACACAGAGTTTAAGATCTTGAGACGAACAAGTATATTGATTTTCAATGAATTTTTATGACTTGAACAGTTAAATCCATGATATTAAAAGCTTTGCATACAAAACGTTAGCATGGGGCAGAACTTCTTGAGTTGTTGCTCTTAATCAGATTTAAGTGTATTATAAATGTTTCATTACCGAAAAAAGTAAAAATATGCGACAACCCTTGTTGACTGCCCGGAGGATTTAGCTGCAGTGGGCGTATGTTTCGTTGTCTGGCAACCTATCTTTAATTTTCATTTCATCAATTTCCTCTAACAAGGATCGTTTTTTCAATGAAACTTTCTCCGTCTTTTTTCTGTTTATCCAAAAATGACATATAGTTTTGTCTTGCAGAACTGACTGACATGACTAGTTTTTTTTATTTATGTCAACATTTAAAGCTCCCCCAACAGACTGAATATGATCTATGACTTGTCTTTGCGCAATAAAAGATTTTTCGTCCATATTATCTTTATAGACCTCTTTATTCACAGAAAATCCACGCTCAACAGATGCTTGTCCATGTGATAAGATTAAAAGTAACTGAATGACAGACCAAATGTTACTATATGGTTGTTTTGATGAGAAGCAATTATAGAAAAGATTATCAACTCGTTGTTCTTTATAATTGAAATCTTTAAACAAAGAAGAATATCCTGGTAAATCTTGGGTCAAAAATGTAGAAAATTCATGTTTTATTGTGTCACATTCTAACTCATTGATCTTTTTATGATCAACAAGAATGCCAAGTATTCTTTCCAATTTCTCTACACAAAAATCTTTGTCATTACACATTTGCCTAGAATCTAAACATTTCATGCACCTCACAAGTGTATATTTCAGGGGACATTTTTCTTGGATTTTAGAAATCATTTTGATAACTGAAGCCTGAGCTCTTATGTCTAGAACTTGTTGTTCGTTTACTTTTTTGTCGGACACAAGTGATTTCAACAGTTTATTTCCCACAAATCCAATGTCAACTTTCTTTATTTCACACTGATTATTTCTGTCATTTATGTCAATCTTCAGTAATGAGCAAGCAGTACCCCCGCTTTTACTTAGTAGGGCCTACATCTGATTTAATCACCCTTCCCATTAGCCCCTTCAACAGCAGATACAAGTCCTCAGCTAGAAATGGAATCATGGGTTTGTCAGTCCGATACACGGTTAAAAATTGGGTAACTTCTTGTGCAATAGAAATAAAACAGTTTATTTTATCTTCTAAAAGAGGGTCTTTTAACATTTCCACAATCGTTTTATATGACTCAGTTTTGGGGTTGGTTATTTTTTTCTTGTTCACTTGATCAATGTATTTTCTAAGTAATGGAATGATCTCACGAGCTCTTAAAGCTACAGGTAGATTTTCTAACCATCTGTGTTTACAAAACTTTAAAGCATAAACATGATTATCAGTTCCTATTAATTTTTCATAGTCCTCCCTGCGAGCAGGGGTGTCCTTGAACAATATGTAACAACTTCGAAGTTGAAGAAAAGTCCTTGAATGCACCGTGAATAACATGGAGCCCACAGCTTCCTATATTCAAGACTTTACTAGAATAATTAGTTTGTATATAATCAGAAAAGAGACCCCAAAAGTTTAAATTAACATTAGGTCCATCCATAGACACTTGCACAAGTTTAGACAGGTTCAAATCTTGAACAGAATCGGTAAAATGTTCTAAAAGTTCATGTGATGCAGGATGGCCAATAAACTTTGAGTTATCACATTATCCCTATCCCAGTACCTCACATCTAGCTGTTTATTTTTTGTTTTGATATTCAAACTTTCATTAAAGATAGGTTGCCAGGCAACGAAACATACGCCCACAGCAGCTAAATCGTCTGGGCAGTCAACAAGAGTTGTCGCATATTTTTACTTTTTTCGGTAATGGAACATTTATAATACACTAAAATCTGATTAAGAGCAACAACTGAGAAAACCATTAGAATTTGTTTGGTTTTTATAAAGTTCTTCCCCATGCTAACGTTTTGTATACAAAACTTTTAATATCATGGATTTAGCTGTTCCAAGTCATAAAAATTAATTGAAAATCAATATACTTGTTCCTCAAAAGATCTTAACCTCTGTGTATCAATCTGAAGTCAATCGGATGATAACTTTAGCCTTTAGAGCATCACAAGATTTTGAAAAGTGATCAAGGGCCATAACTTTGGCAGTAATTATCGGAAATCGTTGAAAATCAATAGGATTCTTCGTCTCATGACCTTAAACACTGTGTATAAATTTAAGATCAATTGGATATAAACTTTGGCCTCTAGAGCGTCCACAAGATTTTTCAAAGTGATCAAGGGCCATAACTCTGGCAGTAATTATCGGAAATCGCTGAAAATCAATAGGATTCTTCGTCTCATGATCTTAAACACTGTGTATAAATTTAAAGTCAATCGGATATTAACTTCAGCCTCTAGAGCGTCCACAAGCAATTACGGACGCCGGACCGACGACAATATACAACCACATTTAAATGTGGGCGTATAAAAAGGAGTACAAAAGAATCTTTATTCTTCAAACTGGTTTTTTTTTTTAGCAAATCTGAAAAATGGGGTGCTAAACCAAAGTTGCAATAATAGGCCATCTTTTTTTTCTCCACAGGTGAATTGATTTATATGAGTGGTGGTTTTCTATATTGTGCAGACTCCACAATATCTCGGATTTTATTGTATCTTCCTTTGAAATGAACAAAGTCAATGATTGGGATTTCCTACTTTCGGTTTTAGTGTCAAAACTATCACAACGTGAACAAGAACTTTCTGTTGAAATTTCAGTTGTACGTACTACCCCCTGTTTGACCCGAAGATGAGGCAAAAATCTGACCAATAGGATTCTGGCCACACTCTTAATTTTCTGTAATTAACTAAATGTTTTTCGCTTTCATGTGGCTCTTTACAGCTGCTTCCCCCATATTACTAATATTAGATATATCAAAAGACTTCTGACATGCGCAACATCGGGCTTTTCGTGAATTAGTTTTGTCACGCATTAACCATGAACAGAAATCGGTTTTTGTCATCCATTCCAACAGTCTTGAAATGTACATTTACCGGGCATTTTAATATTGTTGTAGTAAGTTGGGTATATCAAAGAGAATTCATCACGCTATTCGAAAGCAAAAACACTAGCCTACTAGTTGAACTGACTAGCAGACGAGTAACTGGAAGGGAGATAATTCAGCCAAGTCTGTGAAACTGCTACAGGATGTAGTCCAGATTATCAAGCCAAAAAAATTGATTGTCAAGCCAATTACCGTTACGTCAGAAAAAAGACTACGAAAGTTTGTCTACTCTTGGATCTATTTTTCTTTACCGCGCTTTTCTTTCGTACAAGTTTTACAAATTGAATAAATGTATCAAATTTCGGAGAAAGGGTGATTACTGGACGGAGGTGAAAATTTCATGACTTTCCAAGATAAAATACTCATATTCCAGGTTTTCCAAGCTTGGAATTTTCATAGGTGGAATTCCATGACTTTCCAGGAAGCGTACGAACCCTGGAAAAATCCCTCAGCAGACTCTTGCGATTTTTTTACTTACAGATTTGGGAGTTAAATTTTCTGAATCCATGAGGTAATGCCTAAAAAACGTTCAGAGCAGTCGAATTTTGATTTCGGTCAACAGTTGAATGGTCTCTATTTTGAATTGAATATGAAAAATCCACTTTAGTTTAACGGACGTGAAAATAATCACAATAGGCCGTAATTATGTTCAATGCATCTATTTCTGAAATTAACACATTTCAGGATAGCCGGTATCAAGGTCGAATTTTTGGTGTTTGAAAATTTCGCCTTTGATATTTTACGTGCCGACAAAGTTGTTTACAGGACAATCTATGTCTTTAATTTTCAAAATTTAACCTAAATATTCGAACAGCTAGGGGCAATCAGATTAAAAAAATATTAGTTCCGTTCAAAGTTATCTCATTTAATTTTTCGAAGTTTTCCTGCCATTTTCATTCGATTTTCTCGTCCTGCTTTTAAAGGGCTTGATCCTTTTTTTCTGAAACGGGAAGTCATTCCGATTACAGCAATCCAAGTCTCAGTTATTCCTTTTAGTTTTCAGATTAATTTTTTTTGCCCGTGTGCAATGTTTCTCACTATCTTTAGACTTGTAACTTCGTGAGTTTTTCACCGAATTTGGTAATTATTTTTTCTTATTCTTTTATCGTTTTAAGATACTTGATATAATCCATGTCACGTGACGATGAATATGAAAGTTTTCATATCTGCATGGGAAGTTTGAACGAATCCCATTGGGGCTCCGATGTTTTTTTCGAAATTCGGACAATCGCTCGATTAGTTTTAGCATCAAAGATTTTCAAAAGTTTTCTTCATTTTTTCGGTCCTTCAAGAAGGCGCATCTCCTTTAGTATTTGAGGTATCAAGTTGAATCTTGGTAGGAATAAGGAACACATGGATACCTTCAAAATGGCATACTAAAAATAATTTTGTCAGCTTCCGGAAATTTACCGGATTTTGATGACTTTTTGTTTTGAACCTACTCCAAATGGCAACAATTCTTAGGAACCAATTTTTGAATTTCGATTTCGTCTTACTTTGAATTTTGTTTGACTTTTCACCTTCTATCTGGTGACCTAACCTTTTAATGACCCTTTCCTTTGTATATATGATGACCCTCATGTCTACTAACAATAATCCTTTTCAGGCTTACAACTTTTCAGCCAGTCCTCGTATTTTAAGTTTCACCAAAATCTAACTCATCCAAGCACTTTGTGATATAAACATATATTTCAAGTATCATCAAAATAAAAATTGTGACTTGTACTGGGTCAAACAAATGTGGACGGACAGACACAGGCAATTCCATAATACGTCCAGATGAATATGTTGGGCATATAAAAACTCAAGCCTCTATGGCACGCACACACACCAAACACTGTGTGGGCAAATAAAAAAAAAGACTTAAATTGGTGAAAGAATTTTGTTTTATTCATTTGGTACAAATTTTTTAACATACAAGATATATGCCCCTGTAAATAAATGTGTAAATGGACAAAAGCTAACAAGACGAAAATCTGTAAGTAATATAATATTTATAAATAATGTAGTATTTATAAATAATGTAGTACTAAATGTTATAACATATATAGATATATATATATTGGTTTAATCATCTTCATCATAGTTCTTGTTCTCCTTAACTTTGGGTCCACCAGCTGGTTTAGACATAATTATCTGCAAACAAAAATCATTTTCATTATGAACACAATTCAAGAACGACTGATATCACCCACCCAAATCACAATATTATTAGAAGATACCTATTAATTACTTGCAAATTTATCTTTTCATAAAGTGTCGAGCAATACACTCTTAGGTAGAGGGGTTCATGCAAGAACAAAGATAGGTTGCCAGGCAACGAACATACGCCCACAGCAACTAAATCATCCGGGCAGTCAACAAGGGTTGTCGCATATTTTTACTTTTTTCGGTAATGAAACATTTATAATACACTAAAATCTGATTAAGAGCAACAACTCACGAAGTAATTATCAGAAAACTATTAGAATTTGTTTGGTTTTTATAAAGTTCTGCCCCATGCTAACGTTTTGTATGCAAAGCTTTTAATATCATAGATTTAACTGTTCAAATCATAAAAATTCATTGAAATTCAATATACTTGTTTGTCTCAAGATCTTAAACTCTGTATCAATCTGAAGTCAATCGGATGATAACTTAAGGGCCATAACTTTGGCAGTAATTATCGGAAATCGTTGAAAATCAATAGGAATCTTCGTCTCATGACCTCAAACACTGTGTATAAATTTAAACTCAAAAGATTTTTTGAAGTGATCAAGGGCCATAACTCTGGCAGTAATTATCGGAAATCGCTGAAAATCAATAGGCTTCTTCGTCTCAGGACCTTAAACACTGTGTATAAATTGAAAGTCAATCGAATATTAACTGTCGCTTCTAGAGCATCCACAAGATATTTCAGAGTGATCAAGGGCCATAACTCTGGCAGTAATTATCAGAAATCGCTGAAAACCAATAGACTTCATCATCTTATGACCTTAAACACTGTGTATAAATTTAATGTCAATCGGATGTTAACTTTAGCCTCTAGAGCATCCACAAGATTTTTTGAAGTGATCAAGGGCAATAACTCTGGCATTAATTATCGGAAATCGTTGAAAATCAATAGGTTTCTTTGTCTCATGAACTTAAACATTGTGTATAAATTTAACGTCAATCGGATATTAACTTTGGCCATTAGAGCATCCACAAGATTTTTTGAAGTGATCAAGGGCCATAACTCTGGCAGTAATTATCGGAAATCGCTGAAAATCAATACGCTTCTTCGTCTCATGACCTTAAACACTGTGTATAAATTTCAAGTCAATCGGATATTAACTTTGGCCTTTAGAGCGTCCACAAGATTTTTTGAAGTGATCAAGGGCCATAACTCTGGCAGTAATTATCGGAAATCGTTGAAAATCAATAGGCTTCTTCGTCTCATGACCTCCAACACTGTGTATAAATTTAAGGTCAATTGGATATTAACTTTGGCCTCTAGAGCGTCCACAAGATTTTTCAAAGTGATCAAGGGCCATAACTCTGGCAGTAATTATCGGAAATCTCTGAAAATTTATAGGATTTTTCGTCTCAAGACCTTAAACACTGTGTATAAATTTAAAGTTAATCAGATATTAACTTTAGCCTGTAGAGTCCACAAGCAATTGTGGACGCCGGACCGACGGACGGACGGGGGCGACGACAATATAGACCACATTTCAATGTGGGCGTATAAAAATCCAATAAACGAGCTTAATTTGGGGCCTATTTTAACAAATATGATAAGACTTCCCATTAAAATCATCATTCATGAACAATTAAACTATTGCAAAGTTGGATATTTGTGTGATTTAACCATTTGAATGGGACTTTCTAATATGTGGAAATGTTGATCACCCAAGTAGCATTACAGCGGTAGATTTTTTCATCAAAAAGAGTTATGTTTCTTGGTCACATCAAAGTTTCAAATTTTACTCTGAAAAACGAATTCTTAATTTCCGCAGTCGTGATTCTTCGTTTTTTTTTTTTTTTACGTACGTACGATTAACGATTGAATTTAACATTAGTACGCGTGCGCAACATTTAGTTAGGTTGTCTGTATTCATCAGTTACCTTGAGCTGATTTTTTTTAACGTTTACATACAATAGACTATAGTTAAAACTTTCTAATAAGAGGAATTTCGTGGTTTACAAACGCAATATGTAGAGAGTGCTTGCCGTACTCATATTGTAGATGTTAAATATTATTTATGATAATCCTGTTTTGTTTCAAATAATTATCACAAATATAACCAGTGGCTACCAGGCAGGGTACGCCCACATTTTCGACAGATGGAAAGAAAGTGATTTTTCCTGCAATCAAGGGCCATAATTCAGGAAATTACAATTCGATATGCGCGAATATTGAAAGGAACCGAGATCTTTGGGTTATAAACTTACATTTCAAGTTTCATCAAAATCGGATAAAAAGTGTGACCTCTATATATAGGGTTCACAACCTTGATATACCATATTTTTACGCTATTTGAGAACGAAGGGCGGCCATTTTGTCTGTCAGTTTTGGGCCGATTTTCACGAAATTTGAACTGAGCCGTCCTTAAGGTGTAATGGTGATATATTAATACGTTTTTTTAAATTGGATAACAATTATGACCTATAGGGTCCACAAGCCAAAAAACTCGATTTTTCGTACAATCAGGGGCCATAATTTAGGAAGTTACAGTCCGATACGTGCGAAAATCGAAAGGAACCGAGATCTTTGGGTTAAAAATTTACATTTCAGGTTTCTCACTATAATAGTTAACCAGCAGCTGCCAGGCAGGATACACTCACATTTTCGAGAGACGGATAGAGAACAAGCTAAAAAGAAAGTGATTTTTCCTACAATCAAGGGCCATAATTCAGGAAATGACAATTCGATATGCGCAAATATCGAAAGGAACCAAGATCTTTGTGTCTTATAAGTATACATTTCAAGTTTCAACAAAATCTGATAAAAATTGTGAGATCTATAGGGTCCACAACCTTGATATACCATATTTTTACGCTATTTGAGACGAACGGCGGCCATTTTGTCTGTCAATTTTGGGCCGATTTTCATGTAATTCGAACTCGGCCGTCCTTAGGGTGTAACGGTGATATAATAATACGGTTTTTCAAATCGGATAAAAATTATGACCTCTATAGGGTCCACAAGCTAAAAACACGATTTTTCGTACAATCAGGGGCCATAATTCAGGAAGATACGTTGCGATATGCGCGAATATCGAAAGGAACCGAGATCTTTGGGTTATAAACTTAAATGTCAAGTTTCAACAAAATCGGATAAAAATTGTGACCTCTATAGTGTCCACAACCTTGATATACCATATTTTTACGCTATTTGAGAACGAACGGCGGCCATTTTGTCTATCAGTTTTGGGCCGATTTTTACGAAATTCGAACTCAGCCGTCCTTAGGGTTTAACGGTGATATAATAATATGTTTTTTTAAATAAGATAACCAGCAGCTGCATGGCGGGATACGCCCACATTTTCGAGAGATGGATAGAGAACAAGCTAAAAAAAAAAGTGATTTTTCCTACAATCAAGGGCATTAATTCAGGAAATTACAATTCGATGTGCGCAAATATCGAAAGGAACCGAGATCTTTGTGTGATAAACTTACATTTCAAGTTTCAACAAAATTGGATAAAAATTGAAAGGAACCGAGATCTTTGGGTTATAAACTTACATTTCAGGTTTCTCACTATAATAGTTAACCAGCGGCTGCCAGGCAGGATACGCTCACATTTTCGAGAGACGGATAGAGAACAAGCTAAAAAGAAAGTGATTTTTCCTACAATCAAGGGCCATAATTCAGGAAATTACAATTCGATATGCGCAAATATCGAAAGGAACCAAGATCTTTGTGTTATAAACTTACATTTCAAGTTTCAACAAAATCGGATAAAAATTGTGAGATCTATAGGGTCCACAACCTTGATATACCATATTTTTACGCTATTTGAGAATAAAGGGCGGCCATTTTGACGGTCAGTTTTGGGCCGATTTTCATGTAATTCGAACTCGACCGTCCTTAGGGTGTAACGGTGATATAATACGGTTTTTCAAATCGGATAAAAATTATGACCTCTATAGGGTCCACAAGCTAAAAACGCGATTTTTCGTACAATCAGGGGCCATAATTCAGGAAGTTACGGTCCGATATGCACAAATATCGAAAGGAACCAAGATCTTTGGGTTATAAACTTACATTTCAAGTTTCAACAATAATGGATAAAAATTGTGACCTCTATAGGGTCCACAACCTTGATATACCATATTTTTACGCTATTTGAGAACGAACGGCGGCCATTTTGTATGTCAATTTTGGGCCGATTTTCATGAAATTCGTACTCATTCATCCTTAGGGTGTAACGGTGATATAATAATACGTTTTTTTAAATCGGATAAAAATTATTACCTCTATAGGGTCCACAAGCTAAAAACACGATTTTTCGTACAATCAGGGGCCATAATTCAGGAAAGTACGGTCCAATATGCGCGAAAATCGAAAGGAACTGAGATCTTTGGGTTATAAACTTACATTTCAAGTTTCAACAAAATTGGATAAAAATTGTGACCTCTATAGGGTCCACAACCTTGATATACCATATTTTTACGCTATTTGAGAACAAACGGCGGCCATTTTGTCTGTCAATTTTGGGCCGATTTTCACGAAATTCGAACTCGGCCATCCTTAGGGTTAACGGTGATATAATAAAACGTTTTTTTAAATCGGATGAAAATTATGACCTCTATAGGGTCCACAAGCTAAAAACGTGATTTTTTGTACAATCAGGGGCCATAATTCAGGAAGTTACGGTCCGATATGCGCGAATATCGAAAGGAACCGAGATCTTTGGGTTATCAACTTACATTTCAAGTTTCAACAAAATCGGATAAAAATTGTGACCTATATAGGGTCCACAACCTTGAAATACCAAATTTTTACGCTATTTGAGAACGAAGGGCAGCCAATTTGTCCGGCAATTTTGGTCCGATGTTCATGAAATTCGAACTAACCCTTCCTTAGGGTGTAACGGTGATATAATAATACGTTTTTTTAAATCGGATAAAAATTATGACCTCTATAGGGTCCACAAGATAAAAACGCGATTTTTCATACAATCAGGGGCTATAATTCAGGAAGTTACGGTCCGATATGTGCGAATATCGAAAGGAACCAAGATCTTTGGGTTATAAAATTACATTTCAAGTTTCATCAAAATCGGATAAAAATTGTGACCTATATAGGGTCCACAACCTTGAAATACCCAATTTTTACGCTATTTGAGAACAAAGGGCAGCCATTTTGTCTGTCTGTTTTGGGTTGATTTTCACGAAATTCGAACTCAGTCGTCCTTAGGGTGTAATGGTGATATAATAATACGTTTTTTTAAATCGAACAAAAATTATGACCTCTATAGGGTCCACAAGCTAAAAACGTGATTTTTCGTACAATCACGGGCCATAATTCAGGAAGTTACAGTCGGATATGCATGAATATCGAAAGGAACCGAGATCTTTGGGTTATAAACTTACATTTCAAGTTTCAACAAATTCGGATAAAATTGTGACCTCTATAGGGTCCACAACCTTGATATACCATATTTTTACGCTATTTGAGAAAGAACGGCGGCCATTTTGTCTGTCAATTTCGGGCCGATTTTTACGAAATTTGAAATCAGTCGTCCTTATGGTGTAACGGTGATATAATAATACGTTTTTTTAAATCGGATAAAAATTTTGACCTCTATAGGGTCCACAAGCTAAAAACGCTATTTTTCGTACAATCAGGGGCCATAATTCAGGAAGTTACGGTCCGATATGCGCGAATATCGAAAGAAACCGAGATCTTTGGGTTATAAGCTTACATTTCAAGTTTCAACAAAATCGGATAAAAATTGTGACCTCTATAGGGTCCACAACCTTGATATACCATATTTTTACGCTATTTGAGAACGAACCGCGGCCATTTTGTCTGTCAATTTTAGGCCAATTTTCACAAAATTCTAACTCAGTCGTCCTTATGGTGTAACGATGATATAATAATACGTTTTTTTAAATCGGATAAAAATTATGACCTCTATAGAGAGAGAGAGAAATGGGGTTGAACGTCCACTCGACACAAACTAGGTCATTTCGAGACTAACATATGGTTTAATTTTATTTACATAATTCGCTTGCGCGTAGGGGTCTTTAGCAGTGGGAGGAAACCGGAGGACCCAGAGAAAACCCACGAGGTTGGACAGGCGACCCTACTCCTTGCCACGTACAACCGGGGATTGGAAACCACGCCAGTCGACTCAATGACAGACTTTATGATACAGCGCGCGCACGCTAACCATTCAGCCATCCACACCCCCCCCCCCCTATGACCTCTATAGGGTCCAAAAGCCAAAAACGTGATTTTTCGTACAAACAGGGGCCATAATCCATGAAGTTTGGATCCGATACATGCCAATATCGAAAGCAGCCGAGATCTTTTGGAGATACACCTATATTTCAAGTTTCGTCAAAATCGGATAAGAATTGTGACCTGTAGAGGGTCCACAAACAAATTGTGGAAGGACGGACGGCATAATACGTCCACATGAAAATGTGGGCGTATAAAAATTGTGACATCTATAGGGTCCACAAGCAAAAAAAGTGATTTTTCATACAAACAGGGGCCATAATCCATGAAGTTTCGATCCGATACATGCCAATATCGAAAGCATCCGAGATCTTTTGGGGATAAACCTATATTTCAAGTTTCGTCAAAATCGCACAAGAATTGTGACCTGTAGAGAGTCCACAAACAAATTGTGGACGGACGGACGTCCGAACGGACAAGGGCGACGATAATATACGTCCACATGAAAATGTGGGCGTATAAAAATTGTGACCTCTATAGGGTCCACAAGCTAAAAACGTGATTTTTCATACAATCAGGGGCCATAATCCATGAATTTTCGATCAGATACATGCCATTATCGAAAGCAGCCAAGATCTCTTAGGGATAAACCTATATTTCAAGTTTCGTCAAAATCGGATAAGAATTGTGACCTGTAGAGAGTCCACAAACAATTGTGGACGGACGGACGATTGTATAATGTTTAAAGGTTTTTACAGTTTTCAAATAAGAACCCAATCATATTATTACAACATGTACCAGGAATTGAGATCTATTGTAACAATATTTCTCTAGAAAACATGGATTATCATACCTGATCAACATTAAGAACAGTACATGCTGATGTAGTAGAAAATTTAATTCCCCAGTGTTTGGTTATAAATAGATCTATAACGCCAGCTTCTTTAGCATCTTTTACTGTTGCTCCAATACCCTGGAAATATGTACAACTATTATCTCAAAATACACTATACGACTGGTACCGTGGAATCTCGGGTAAATAGTGTTATTATCTAATCTATGTAGAATTATTCATAAATATCATTGAATTAGACCTAATAGCATTCAATTTGTCCTTGTAAACAACTTAAATCTCAACGTGCAATTTTGAGGACCAAGCGTTAATTAACTAGTGTTTAGTTTGTCGACACGTGTGTAATTATAAGCGTCCCGCTTAATTTTCACGACTGTTCAATAATTAGTTGGACTGTTCAATTTCCTGAGTTGTGATTAAAATTAGTCAAGGTGTCCAATTACGCCAGGTATTCAATTCTGTTGCCGAACATACAATTTCACATGCACATACAATTTCACATGCGTTGTTCAGATTTTAACGAAATGTTTATATTGAAGGAGTTGTAATATAGTAATGCTGCCGTGAAAACGTGTACATGTATATTGTACAGGCCGGTTTGAATAACAACAAAATGAGTTCGGTAATCTTGGCAAAACATTTACCGGCATTCTGTATCGGTCAGGATTTTTTTCTAATGCACTGTACATGCATATAACGTCGGCCAAAATGTATGCAACAATGAACAACTTACAATTTTTTTACAACGTATCATTACTTAGATGTAATCCATCAATTATTGGCTGCTATAAAATCCAAACTTTCCGCTGTGACAATATACATCTACTTTAAATGTCGCCCAATTCATTTCGGTGGAAGCGGATATTGAATAAACCCATTTCACACATGTGTAAATTACATGCCCATGTCATATATTTATACAATGTCCACGAGTGTGTTAGGCCTACATGTAATTCTCGCCTTCACTCCGTTATAATTTTCCTATTTTCTGTACAATTTCTGAATGATTCCATTCTTTTGTATGTCCAACTTCCCGAATTCCTACTGCATATACATGTACCCTGTGTAACTGCAATCTATAAGTTTATACATACATCTATATGTTTACGTTTAAAATCTAGATATCAGAAGCTCGAAAGTTATACTAGACGGTGAACACGCAAGTTTCTTGATTGAACCTGCATTTGCTTTTGTAATTATAACTGTATGTTAATCGTGATTATAATTATAAACAATGCATTTATATAACTATACCGCTTGTTTTCAGATCCCATAATTGAACATTGTATCTTTATAATATGTAAATATTGAATAAATATTGTTAGAAAAAAAAGGAGAAAAAAAAAACAAACCTGCATCTACATTGCATAATATCGGACCCATATTTATCCTTGCTATTCGGACCAACCCAAAGGACCACACGGACCAATTAAATTACATTATAAGGCTTGACTTATTCATTTTAAAAATATAATACAGACAATATGTTATTAATGATTTTACTCATTAATAACATATTGTATCATAATACAAAGAGGCGAACAATTTATAGGTGAGTATATACATAACTTTAGAATATCCGCTGTTGGTAAGTACATATTAGCAAATATACATCTTTTTTACATCAACCATTTAATTGTTTTTCTTTGATGTGCTTCATGATGAAACAATGCGACGGGTAAGTACATAACACTTTATTATTTCAAAGAAAACATATGCATATTAAAACAAACACTTATCAATTATTAAAACAACAAATAAAACAACACTTTATTATTAATTCGAGTAGTCATTAATATAAACACAAATATAAACGTATTAAAACAACACTTTATTATTGGTCCGAGTGGTCCTTTTGTATGGTCCGAGTAGTCTTTTTTGTTTCGTCCGAGTGGTCTATTAGTTGGTCCAAGTGGTCATGCATTCGTACAGAAGAATGGAATCATTCAGAAAGTGTAGGCTACTCAAAATAACGTAGTGAAGGCGACAATTACATGTAACACATCGTGGACATTGTACAAATATATGACATGCGCATGTAATGTACACGTGTGTGAAATGGCTTTATTCAATATCCGCTTCCACCAAAATGAATTGGGCGACATTTAAAGTATATGTATATTGTCACAGCGGAGATTTGTCGCCGATTAACACAGACAGACTAAGAATATAGTCCCAATCTGACCACGTGACTTACCGTTAAGCTCCCCGTGGAGTGGATCGAGTGCTCTTTGAATGATTTAGATTAACTGAAGCTGCAAGCTCATCGTATGACGTATATAATTTAAAGTTATAGACGAAGATGTAATGATAGCCTACGTTGTAAAAAAAATTGTAAGTTGTTCATTGTTGCATACATTTTGGCCGACGTTATATGCATGTACAGTGCGTTAGAAAAAAATCCTAACCGATACAGAATGCCGGTAAATGTTTTCCCAAGATTACCGAACTCATTTTGTTGTTATTCAAAAGGGCCTGTCCATTATACATGTACACGTTTTCACGGCAGCATTACTATATTACAACTCCTTCAATATAAACATTTCGTTAAAATCTGAACAACGCATGTGAAATTGGATGTTCGGCAACAGAATTGAATACCTGGCGTAATTGGACACCTTGACTAATTTTAATCACAACTCGGGAAATTGAACGGTCCAACTAATTATTGAACAGTCGTGAAAATTAAGCGGGACGCTTATAATTACACACGTGTCGACAAACTAAACACTAGTTAATTAACGCTTTGTTCTCAAAATTGCATGTTGAGATTTAAGTTGTATACAAGGACAAATTGAATGCTTTTAGGTCTAATTCAATGATATTTATGAATAATTCTACATAGATTAGATAATAACGCTATTTACACGAAATTCCACGGTATCAGTCGTATAGTGATAACTTACTCCTATTTAAAAGAGTATGATATGAAGACTGGCATACGCAATGCAGTGGGTTTATCAGGGAAATTTGGTCCGGACATGGGCGATATATGGCCAATTCTTATTTCCAATTCCGACTGTTAGTTAAGGGTTCTTTGACGTGCACGCCAATGTGTGCACAGAACCTCAGTTTTCCGTACCATACAAACAACTAGATGCTGTTCCCTGCCAGGTCCTCTGTCCTCGGGGCAAACCATACCGTAAAATCCCGATGAACTTTCTCAGCAAACATATGGCGAACCAGTGCCTAACTCGCTGAGACATCTTTCCATTTATATTCTATATGTTAAAGCTTGTGAATGTGATATATAGGACAAAGTTCTCAATGGAATTAGGTTGAACTTGATTGGCAAATGGTGGAATCTTAATAAAATTAAGAATATTTTGATACTAAATCAAAGTTATCAACCATAAGTTTCAAACTCTTTTTGTGGATTAAAGATACATTATGGGAGATTCGATAACGAGTTGCCAGTTCTCACTATAATAGTTAACCAGCGGCTGCCAGGCAGGATACGCCCACATTTTCGAGAGACGGATAGAGAACAAGCTAAAAAGAAAGTGATTTTTCCTACAATCAAGGGCCATAATTCAGGAAATTACAATTCGATATGCACAAATATCGAAAGGAACCAAGATCTTTGTGTTATAAACTTACATTTCAAGTTTCAACAAAATTGGATAAAAATTGTGACCTATATAGGGTCCATAACCTTGATATATTTTTTTAAACGCTATTTAAGAACGAAGGGCAGCCATTTTGTCTGTCAGTTTTGGGCCGATTTTCACGAAATTCAAACTCCGCCGTCCTTAGGGTATAACGGTGATATAATAATACGTTTTTTTAAATTGGATAAAAATTATGACCTCTATAGGGTTGACTAGCTAAAAACGCGATTTTTCGTACAATCAGGGGCCATCATTCATGAAGTTATGGTCCGATATGCACGAATATCGAAAGGAGCCGACATCTCTGGGTTAAAAACTTAAATATCAAGTTTCAACGAAATCGGATAAAAATTGTGACCTCTATAAGGTCCACAACCTTGATATACCATATTTTTACGCTATTTGAGACCGAACGATGGCCATTTTGTCTGTCAATTTTGGGCCGATTTTCACGAAATTCGAACTCAGTCATCCTTAGGGTGTAACGGTGATATTATAATACGTTTTTTTAAAATCAGATAAAAATTATGACCTCTATAGGGTCCACAAACTAAAAAAGCGATTTTTTGTACAATCAGGGCCATAATTCAGGAAGTTACAGTCCGATATGCGCGGATATCGAAAGGAACGGAGATCTTTGGGTTATAAACTTACATTTCAAGTTTCAACAAAATCGGATAAAAATTGTGACCTCTATAGGGTTCACAAGCTAAAAACGTGATTTTTCGGAAAAACAGGGGCCATAATCCATTAAGTTTCGATCCAATACATGCCAATATCGAAAGCAAACGAGATCTTATGGAGATAAACCTATATTTCAAGTTTCGTCAAAATCGGACAAGAATTTTGACCTGTAGAGTGTCCACAAACAAATTTTGGGCGGACGGACGGGGGCGACAACAATATACGTCCATATGAAAATGTGGGCGTATAAAAAGTAGATAATGTAAAGGCAATTTGCTGAAAACTTCATTCAAATTGATCCACTATTAACCGAGAACTAAGCGATTTAAATTTCTGCCTAGCCTCGACCATCATTATGGTCTGGATAGGTTAATTAATGTCTAATTAATAATTTAGATAACATTTCAGGCCTAAAGAAAGACCTGCAATAGACCAATTTAGCTCTTGAAATTAGATCCTGCAGTTTCCTCCCACTGCTAAAGACCCGAAATGACCTGGTTTGTGTCGAATCGGCGTTAAACCCCATTTCTCTCTCTGAAATTAGAGCTAGCAAAGTAGGAGCAGTAGTTGTGCAACTTGTGTGATTTGTATTGACACTAAAATTAGGTTAAAGCACTGTATAATTTAGTCTGTAAGAATAATACTGTGTGGGCTTATATTGACACTAAAATTAGGTTAGAGCACTGTATAATTTAGTCTGTAAGAATAATACTGTGTGGGCTTACTTCAACATCAATACCAACAGTTTTCTTGCCTTCTTGATGAGCAGCATATAACTTGGCCATAACTTCAGTAGCCTGAAAAACATGATTTCCTAGTGATAAATTCCTGAAATGAACATTTTAGCACAAGCAGTATTAAGAAATTTGACATGGCTGTAAACAAGTGAGGCTGAAATCCCAAAATATATAGACGACACATTAATTAATTGCACATTGATCTTTTTCAAATGTATCGAGCAATCAACTGATTATCTATACTTGGTCTGAGCATAAAATGTTTGTGATCAAACTCAGTCAAGGTTTTGAAGTACCTGGTAGTGAAACTATACACTAAGTTTCATCACTCTCCATCAGTTAGAATCAAAGTTATTTTGTCCTAAAGCATCGACCAATGAAATTGCTTAGCTCTGCTTAGCTTTAGCGGGAAATGTTAATCATTGAACTCAGTAAAGACATTCACCTAATGAACATCTACATCAAGTTTAAACATTCTACCTCAATCAAAAGCAGAGATGTTATGTTCCAAAATCTTGACCAATCAAATAGCTTAGTGCCACTTAGCTGAAAATTCTCATCATCAAACTTATTCAAAGTATTGATATAATGAATCTATCCTCGGAAGTTTCATCGCTCTCACCCAATTAGAACCAAGTTTTCACTGGGTTCCAAAGTCTCAAGCAATCAAATTGCTTAACTCTGCTTAAGCCTTAGTGGAAAATGCACATGATCGAACTCTGTCAAGGCATTCACCTAATAGACACCTACATCAAGTTTGAACATTCTACCTCCAAAGCCTTGACCAATCAAATTGAAGTCTCTACTTTGCCTAAGCAGAAAATGCTCAGCATCGAACTTTAAGGTATTGATGTAATGAAACTGTACATGAAGTTTCACCACTATCACTCAATTTGAATCACCTAATCAACACCTACACCAAGTTTGAACATTCTAGCTCAATTAGAATTAGAATTATTGTGTCCCAAAAAGTGTCACGGACGGACAGACAAGATGGACAGACCCATTTTAATAGTCTCCTGCTTTCTTTGAAAGGAGGGGGACAATAACATTTAAAAAACTAAAACTGCGATGCCATCAAAAAATATTCATAAATAAAATTGTTTTTTTTGTCAAAATTTAAATTTTCTAAATTTGGCGCCTGATATCTACAAAGATTTGACGAAAAAAAAATAAAAATAAAAAATAGTGTAGCTATGTGCCCTGTCTCTGCCAAAATATATCAAAAGTTAAAATCCAACAATTGGGTCATTCCATATCAAGTGGGTTAATTTTCAGAAATTTGGGAAATCGCCCCCCTTGAAAAAATAGATGTTTTTGTACATGCAAAAACTAGAAACTGTGCAAAATTTGTTGTTTGTAGCTTAAAAATTGACCGAGATACGGGGCATTTAATATTGTTAATCACATACAAATGTATCAATGGTTTCGCACCTCCATACTTATCTGAATTGATACAAATCCGCACTTCGGTGAGAAACACAAGCTCTTCTAGTGACGATTTACTGTTAGTACAACCTCGAGCCAGACTAGCATCCTATGGCGAGAGGGCCTTTTCATTTTATGCACTGTTACTTTGGAATAAATTACCTTATTTTATTCGGAAATCACCTTCCATTGTTACATTCAAATCGCACTTGAAAACTCATTTATTCAAACACACTTTTTACTGATTTTACACATTTGACTGTTTTATGGGTTGTCTCTCTCTTTTTACTTTATTTTTTAGGAACTTCTTTTTTATTATAAATTGTATTTTTAGGAACTCCTTTTTTATTATAAATTGTATTCTACTTTGTTATTGTTAAGCGCATCTGAACACTTCTGTGAAAGATGTGCTATATAAATGTATTAAATAATAATAATAATAATTTGAGTTTTATCAGTTACTGATAAGTTTTCGAAACAATATGTATTGATTCCCCGGTTGTACGTGACAAGGAGAAGGGTAGCCTGTCCAACCTTCTGGGATTTCTATGTATCCTCCCACTGTTAAAGACCCCTACGCGCAAGCTAATTATTGAATTAAAGATAGGTTGCCAGGCAACGAAACATACGCCCCCCCCCCCCAGCAGCTAAATCGTTCGGGCAGTTAACAAGAGTTGTCGTATATTTTTACTTTTTTTGGTAATGAAACATTTATAATACACTAAAATCTGATTAAGAGCAACAACTCATGAAGTAATTATCAGAAAACCATTAGAATTTGTTTGTTTTTATAAAGTTCTGCCCCATGCTGAAATGAAATGGGGTTTAACGTCCTACTGTTCTGCTCCTATACTGGGCTAATGAAGACGGGCATACGCCATACAGTGTGCTATCCGGGAAATTTTGTCGGGCAGCGGCACTATCGCCTACTCTTATATCGAATTCCAACTGCCAACGTTTTGTATACAAAACTTTTAATATCGTGGATTTAGCTGTTCAAGACATAAAAATTCATTGAAAATCAATATACTTGTTCGTCTCAAGATCTTAAACTCTGTATCAATCTGAAGTTAATCAGATGATAACTTTAGCCTCGAGAGTGTCACAAGATTTTTCAAAGTGATTAAGGGCCATAACTCTGGCAGTAATTATCTGAAATCGTTGAAAACCAATAGGATTCTTCGGCTCATGACCTTAAACACTGTGTATAAATTTAAAGTCAATCGGATATTAACTTTGGCCTCTAGAGCGTCCACAAGATTTTTCAAAGTGATCAAGGACCATAACTTTGGCAGTAATTATCCGAAATCATTGAAAATCAATATGATTCTTCGTCTCATGACCTTCAACACTGTGTATAAATTTAAAGTCAATTGGATATTAACTTTGGCCTCTAGAGCGCCCACAAGATTTTTCAAAGTGATCAAGGACCATAACTCTGGCATTATTTATCGGAAAAGCATTTTCACTGCAAAATTCTATATAGTAAAGAAATGACATATGCGCATTTTAATTAGCTGTACTTAGTCATTTTCGCAGAAGGACATTAAAAAAATAAGCCTTTCAGGGGCGTAAAAATTTTTTTGAATCCACTAGCCCAGGGCTAGTAGTCCACTGTCCGACATTAATATCCACTAGTCGATAGTTTGATAAGGTACAAGATTTAATCTTCAATATTTTGGCATATGTTTTGTTTCCTGCCAACCTATTGTTTTTAATAAAGATCGTAGACTTGATTGCCTAATAATTAAGGATGTATACGCTACTCGGTTAACCGGTCACGGTTCGGTTGCACTGGTGAAACGGTTTAAAAAACTACAATCCGATATTCGTTGTCATATCATATCCGACCTTCAAAACCAGGAATGGTAGCCACAACAATGATTTCTTTCACTAAAGACCATATAAATACATCATATATAGCACATGTCATTTATAATATATCACGGTAAATTAACGTACTTTAATTCCCGCTCGAAGATTTGTATATGTTACTTATTATTAACACTTACTGCAAAGCCCAAGATAGCCTCGACTGATTGACAAATTAATTGTTTTACCATATTTATTTACCTGGTCACTCTATAAAGAGTCTCAAAATGAAACAAATCAGTTTGATGTGCTGATAGTAAAATTGTTTATGTTATCACTCGAGTTCCATGCTGCGTGCCGATAGGGTCAAAGTTGATGACACACGGGTCACTGGAACCATTCATCATGGTGTGTGTGTAATGAACACGTGTAGTAAATTCTTCGGAAATACCGGACATGTTAAATAATCAAAATTATCTTGTATTTAAAAAAAAAAAGGTATGCTTTGAAATATTTATGTCAGAACTAAACTAATATAAAGTATAAGTGAGTCTTTTGTTTTTAAATCAACCTGATTTCAACGTGACCTGCCAAAGCGTGCAAGATGGAGACATGATCAAGAATGAATGAATAGAAGGGGTACAAAAAATGTCCATACAGCTCTAAGTTTTACTACAGAAAATCTATTTTTATAATCGAGTTTTCCTTGGAATATGAGAAATAAATGTTGGATGTTTTACAGCTTATTTATCTATATCGTCACTAGTTTAATTCACAAACCGGTGAAAGGGCACTAGCCCAGTACTAGTACAGCTAAATAGATCACTAGCCCGTAAGTTATTTTTGGTAGCCCCGGGCGTCGGGCTAGTGGATTTTTACAACCCTGAAGCCTTTATAGTAATAACCAGTGGCTGCCAGGCAGGATATGCCCACATTTTCGAGAGATGGATAGATAGATAGCTAAAAAGAAAGTTGTTTTTCCTACAATCAAGGGCCATAATTCAGGAAATTACAATTCGATATGCGCAAATATTGAAAGAAACCAAGATCTTTGGGTTATAAACTTACATTTCAAGTTTCAACAAAATCGGATCAAAATTGTGACCTCTATAGGGTCCACAACTTTGATATATACCATATTTTTACGCTATTGGAGAACGAGGAGCTGCCATTTTGCCAGTCAGTTTTGGGCCGATTTTCACAAAATTCAACCTCAGCCGTTCTTAGGGTGTAACGGTGATACACTAAAACGTTTTTTTCAAATCGGATAAAAATTATGACCTCCATAGGGTCCACAAGCTAAAAACGCAATTATTCCTACAATCAAGGGTCATAATTCAGGAAATTACAATTCGATATGCGCAAATATCGAAAGAAACCAAGATCTTTGTGTTATAAACTTATATTTCAAGTTTCAACAAAATCGGATTAAAATTGTGACCTCTATAGGGTCCACAACCTTGATATACCATATTTTTCATTATTTGAGAACGAAGGGCGGCAATTTTGTCTGTCCGTTTTGGACCGATTTTCACGAAATTCGAACTTGGCCATCCTTAGGGTGTAACGGTGATATAGTAATACGTTTTTTTAAATATCGAAAGGAACCGAGATCTTTGGGTTATAAACTTACATTTCAAGTTTCAACAAAATCGGATAAAAATTGTGACCTCTATAGGGTCCACAACCTTGATATACCATATTTTTTTCACTATTCGCTTACAAGCGGTGGCCATTTTGTCCGTCAGTTTTGGTCCGATTTTCACGAAATTCGAACTCAACCTTTATTACGGTGTAACGGTGATATATTAAAATGTTTT